GAGGGCCAGATCCTCCAATATTTTGCAGTAATGAACTTAAAAATAACCCACATCAAGTTTAATAAACCATATAGGTAATAATTATGTTATATTACACGTAATGAATTAGTGACTGAGGTACCCCTCCCATAAAATGAACACTGTTACCATTTTAAATTAACCTACAGATACAATTTAACTCTCTTATATTTCCTTGATTCTGTGCCTGTAATGATTGTCATTCAAGTGAATTGCTAAAGTGAGTGATCAATGACTGATCAGTTAAGCAGGGAGAGAAGAGGGAGATTTCCATAATTTTTAAAATAATGATAAAATTGGGTAAAAGATGCCCCTCTTCAAAAAATCCTAGTTCAGGCCCTGCATTGAGGTATCAGAGTATTTTAACCATAAATTTTCCTTCATATTTATGAATCTTTCCCTTTTTTTCTTTTATAAAGGATTTGATTATAATTTCTGCCTCATAGCCTTGCTGTGATTGTGTTGTATTAAAACAATCTCAAAAATAAAATAAGCATATTTTCTGATTTCTAAGCAAACATAGTACCCCAGACGATTGGGATTGTCTGTTTATAAATGATAAATAGTCAAGTGGGCTGTGTCTCATTATAATCTGCTACTTTTGCGCACTCTTTCCTTGATACGAGGTTGATTAGATAGTCTATCTAATCATTTGCTCCCAAGTTATGAATGATTTGATTAATCAAAATTGTTTGACCCAGCCTCCTTTCACATGACCTTATGTGTAATATGAATTATAGAACGTTAAAATTTATTCAATAGTTTTGTACATTTTTTAAAAGATCGAATGAAATGGCTGTTTCCACAATATCTTCGTCAATTCGGGTTGTATTATGTTTAGTTTAATGTAATAATAGTACGTTATTATTATGACTACTACCACATCAGAACCATCAGTAATATGATACAGCCAAACATATGCATGACAAAGTTCTCAAATAAATAAGTTTATCAACATTATTTATAGAAGGTCTGAGAATGACAAATAATCAAATATTTGTTTTACGTTCAGAGGCGCACACTAAGGGCCAGAGAAGGTTTTCAGGTAGAAAAAGTGACCAAGATATTAAAACATGTAACTTACAGATTTTTTACATGATCGAAAATGTTCAAAAGCCCCACAATAATGAATCATAATAATCTAAAAACAATTGATTCAGGACTCATAGGTAGCTGACATAATTGAGTGTTTTGGGAACTTTTTTATCTGGATGGACGAACTTTTTAATGCCTCTTCACACAGAACACGATATGTCCCAGCGATATGATACCCTTTTTTGGTTTTGCTGCAGGTTATCACAACTGCCACTAGCGGATCCAGGATTTAATTTTGAGGGAGCTTCAGCCTGAAAGATTTTTTTTATTTTTTTGATATATATATATATATATATATATATATATATGGATAATTAATTTGAAAAAAAAAAGAAAGATACTACCCACCTATGTGAAATGATGTTTAAGTTATGCTTGAAGTCCTTTTAATTGTAATAACACAAACAACAATACTTTGAGAGATATTTTTTACCATAAACATGGTTACATTTTACCATTTTGGGGAGGAGGGCTTCAGCTCGAAAACCCCCCGTAGATCTGACTGTGACGGTTGCTATAAGGCCATAAATAGTAATACAACTACGTCGCCGTTGGCAGGAATATCATATTGCTAAGATGTATCGCAACCTTTAGTGCTGAGAGTCCCAATTGGATTCACTGTTGGTCTCACAAATGCAAAGGAGCTTTTCACTCCTGATTAAACCAATTGTAGAAGTTCTTAGATTTTTTTTACTGTCACTTACCTATATATGTGATATATACTAAGAGTAATTACTTTCATTTACCTATATATGTAATATATAGTAAGAGTAAGTATTGGGATCCTGAAAATTTTTGAATCTGAGTTTTCAACGGAAATACACATTTTGAGGTTCCCTGAGTGCAAATAGCCAAGTCCCATGAAATGGTCTGTCTGTGTGTGTGAAATAATGAAAGAATTTGATAATTAACTAAAGGAGATATTGTAGATCGTAACGCATCCGAGCTCACCTGAGCTCGACCGAAAGAGAATATACGTAACATGAGCTTAATATATATAACACGGACTCCGACAATATTATGTACATACACATGTGCGGTTTTCATAAAAGCTATCGTTGGTATTATTTAATATTTAATTTTATAGAATACAGCGATATAAAAATTAAAATTTGTCTATATAAGGGTATTTAAACAAATAAAAATACCCACAATGAAATGTAAATAAATATAGTGTAGACGCTATATATTAGATAATTTTATTTGATAACTATGCAGTAAATTATAGATAATTTTTACTTTCACTTCTCCTTTGTCTGAAAATATTTATTTTTGCAAAAAAGAGGGTGATAAGTGAAAGTTTTGTGATGCGTGCATCAGATTTTTTTTTTTGGTTCAACATCTTAAATACACTCGGGAAGAGCAACTAAATTACAAGTTTTAAACTTATTCTAGCCAAAAAAAAGTCTATGTTTTCATCACTTTACATTTTATAGTTTTTTTGTTATTTGTTGGCCCAAGATTTCCATTGATGTCCTATGTTGCAGATTTTATAGTTGTACCACTTATTAATTTAAAGTCCTTGAAAATATTATTATTTATTTTTCCTGTCACCTGTTTAGATTTAGTAGCTGTACATGGGCTATAATTAAAAAAAACAAACTAATTCCATTAAGTATTTAGCTCAGATCATTCATAGAGACAAATATACACAATTAACAAAACATATTTTTTTATTTTGGGTGACTTCAGCTCGAAAACTTATTTTTCTTTGGATACAAAAAAACAAACAAAAAACAGTGATAGCTGATTTCCATTGATTAGATAAGTTCAGCTTGGAAAATCCTGTAAATATTTTGATGTTATCATAATGATGTTAGTGGTGATCAGAAGAAAAGACCAGAAAGGTGTTCCATGGTGTATTATGCTATCGACATTTTTGAAGAGACACATTATGACAGGTTTTTGAATTTTTGAGGAATCACATTTTGACAGGGTTATGAATTTCAGAATAAAAAGTTTCAAACCAAGGGACAAGAGGAAAGCATAGAATATATCACTGAAAATGTAATTGTGTATGAATTATGATTTTTTAAATAATACTTTAGCTTGCACCTCTCCTTTAAGAAGAGGAGAGCAATAAAATATCTTTGGAGGAGGTTCATGCGCCATTGACCTTGGTGGGATGGGCACCTATGGTGATCAGACAGAATACATATTAATTTAGCCAGAGAGACAACATATTGGTCTAGATAGAACCGATTTGGTTCGTCTTTTTCATTCAGGAATCTTAAACTTTCATATTTATAGATTTAAGTGAGAGTTATGATACTGTTGTTTATGAATAATAGCGGAGGTACCCATCTCTCTCAAGGTCGACGATGCAAGAATCTATTCCCCCCACTCCTAGATATTTTATTGTTCACCTTTTCTTAAAAACAGAGCAAGCAAAGATACAATTAAAAAAATCATAAATCATATACATTTACACTTGTTGTGTTCTGTTCTATATTTTCCTCTAGTTCCTTAGTATGGAAATTTTCATTCTGAAAATTCATAACCCCACCGAAATGTGTCTCCCTCAAAAATTCTAAAACCAGCTAAAATATGCCCCCCTCAAAAATTTTGATGGTGCAACTTGCGCCATCAAACCCCCTTCTGGGCACCCCTCAATAATAGTGTTGGAATCTATCAGCTGTCAACACTTCTAAGAAAAATACCAGAAGCCATCATACTTATTTAAAACACACTCATATCAGAGTCATCAGTTGAGAAAAATTGAGATGTTTAAAACAAGTGGTGGAATTGTATTTTTCAATAACCTCTTTGAAATTAATTCGTATTTAAAATAATTTTAAATTTAAGAAAATAAATCCAAAGGTGGAGGTTTCTGATTGTGCATTTAATATAAATCATCACTAACGTTTTTGTATTTCTGTAATATTTTCGGCTTTTTATTTAACCTGATTTTTATTATTAATACAAATCATTAATGCACTTATCATGGTTTTTGTTGCCTGGTGATCCTATAACATTATAAAACTAACATAGCATTGAAACATTTGTGTAATTTTGAAATAAATATGGTCAATAGTCAATATTATAATAAATAACTTTATTAGCATGTGGAAGTTAAAAATATGAATTGCAACCTAAGGTTAAATTTTGAAAACTCCTTAAAAACGATGCTATACAACCTAGGTCATACCAAATATTTTATGAGACAAACAAGATATCGGTGAAGACTTCATTTTTATGCTGGTAATGATTTCATGAATATTTTATGTGGGTTACAATTTATTATCACTTATTGTATGACTTATTAGTCACACTTGCATATATTTATGAAATATCACAAGATAGTTGTTAAATAGGCTTTTGTTAAGGAATTCAAATAAAATTTATATTTATCATTATTTGTGAAAATTTGTATGAAACTCCATGATCATTCTCTGATATTTTTCTGAGATGTTTGGAAAATTATAGCAATTAATTAAATATAACAGTCATTAGAGAATCATTGATGGTTAATACTTTTTATGTTAAACACTTAATATTCAACTATCTATTACAAAAAGGAATATAAACTGCAATCACTTACTAATAACTTGGCATTATAGGTATGCATTGTATTACAAATGAGAAAAAAAATTTCAAAAAATAATTTTTGTAGATTAATGGTACCGGATCTACATTTAGGCAAAATAGGGAAGATTATAAGATCTATTAGGACTTTAGATAGGTTTTAGAGTAAATTAATAATAATATGTCATATATCATATCACTTATATTTATTTACTATACATAATTACACATGTTTCATTGCAATTATTTATCATGATCAAAAATTAACTTTTTTTGTTGGTGATGGCTGCACTTTGTGGAAATAGCTTCAATTCATTTCCTAATATATTTTTTTCTTTTCCTATCTGTATTTTTGTTTCCAGATTGGAATATCAGGAACGAAATTCCAGAAAGAAGAAAATTGACAATCATATAATCTAGTGAAATCAGAACTCTTTTATAAATGTCCCTGCTTACATTCCTGAAAATATAATCTCTGAGACCAAATAAGAAGATTATACACCATAAGCAAAACATTATTAAGTACTTAAAAAAAAGAAATAGAATAAATAAAGACAAATGATTTATTTGCTCAGATAAAATTCTAAATACAAAAATCTCTTTTAGTTACCATTATTTAATGTATTTTTAAGTACGTTATTGTTAATATATTTATAAATGTTTACCAAAAAGTTGTTATAGTTTTTATTGCAAAGTTATTATTCCTTAACTTTTTATTTATTTATTTGTGTTAATATTTAATTTACTACTCTCTATCTTTGAGATAATAGTAGACTCTTCATAATTTGTTGTTGAAAGGTTTTAGTATGAGAATGTTGGAAAAGCAAAGATGGAAGTGTTAAAAATAAAGTACAAAAGTGAAGTTTAGATCTTTAGGCTACTTCTTGCTTGACTGTTTCATATCAATTTTAGAAGAGTTTAAATCAACTTTATCTGGTAATGGTTTTCTTTCAATTATGATAAATAGATTACATCAGAAATCAATTCTTTGGTTAAAGTATTTATAAGATAAATTAATATTACACTGTGTATTATGTATTTTTTAAAAATGTGATTGTATTCCATGTATCTATCGAATAATCAATTTTTAAAATCAAATTGCTATTCAAAAACATAATTATTTATAACTTTAAATAACTAAGTATTAAATTCTTAAAGTAATCAAAATTTTAATTAAGAAAACACTGCTTTATTTTTATAGTGAATTATTGGGAGTCTACTATATTTTATTTGCATGATAGTTCATTATTATTTGTAACAGCTTTTTGTCTGTTTAAGTAGAGTTCCTTTAAATTAAAAATTATAACTTTAATTAATTATTTTTAATTGGAATCACATGCAGATATATGTTGAAGAAATGTTAAGATTAATAACTTAAATATACCAATTGTGTTCCTAACATTGGAATTCTACTGTAGGTGGCTTCTATGTTAATCACTGTTTCATACATCACTTCCTTGTTTGTGCTGCACAATATTAAGTTGTACATTTAAAAAAACTGTGGAATATAGATATATTTCAAAGTAAATCTTTTTATAATAAATAAACTATCATACAAAATTTTCATATCTTTTATTGGTGTTTGTCCAACCTCTCACTGTTAATGTTGGTGTGTGACTGTATCTTTAAAATATTGTTTAATTCAATTGGTGTTTGCTTCTTATGTGGTGGATTAATATCTGTAATTGTTATATAAAATAAAATTGCTATTAAAGTTATGGTACTGTTACTAAAGAAATGTCTCTGATTTTTTGTTTAAAATAAGTCAACAAATGACTCCCTCAGTATCATGACTGCTACAACACCTGTGATTGACTAAGCTCTTCTACAAATCAAAATATAAAAGTGGCCATTAGAATGTGCTATTGGGCATAAGAATATGCCCATTCCAATAATAGGTATTAAATATGATAATTGATCTAACATTTGAACAATAATCAATATTATGGTACTTATTATTACAGAAAACCCTAAAAGCATTTATAAAATTGATTGCCCTGCTAACAATGTAATCCTGGAAGATCTTCCTTCTCAGAAGGTTATCCATAATTCCATCCATGCCTAGGTATCAAAAATACACTTAAGTTCAGTTTACAATTCATATTTATTTTTTAGTCAATCAACATTTGTTATATCAGAATCTGAAATCTCAAAAAAGTTAAAAAAAGGTAAACAATTTTTTATTTTACTCATTGATTGCAAAATTTTATCCTATTACTCCACTTCACTATCATCCTGGTTTATCAGTGATTGGAGCAGAGCTGCCAAATTCAAAATGACAGGCATTGAATGGGTTGATTTTTTTTTTTTTTTTAATTAATTAGTAGTTTTTCAGTGATATTTCAATAGTACTTTTCAGCATTACCATGGCCATTACTAATTGTTTTTTTATTACATATTACAAAATGTTTGGTTTTAACTTATTGCTTTACCTTATTAACCTTTTTTAAAATTGCATCCAAACGAAAATTAACAGAGTTATATGATATTTTATTGGGTTGGTAAACTTGCTAACCAATTTTACTTTGTAATTGTTATACTGAAGTATATATTACTCTGTATTAATTTAGAAACACATAAACTTAAAGAAATTTAAATGTTTGAGACATGAATGTTATTCTTTGCTAGTAGTTTTGTTGATTGTCAAAGATTTGAAACTAGTGTTTTGGGGCCTCAACTGCAAAAATACTGTATCTAGGACAGGAACGGCCAGCTGTTTGTCTAACTGGGATCAGTTCATTCAATGGATTTTTCTAGTGAAAAAGGAAAGAACTCTATTTTCTACTTTGAGACTTATTAGTATCTAAACATCTTAAAAATCCCCACTCCTAGGGGGAGTGGAATATGGAGTGGAATATATGTGATCTCAAAGGTTTTTTTTTCTTTTTTCAGTTTTTCACACATAATGCGGAAACCATGTGTCTAAGCATTTCTGTAAAAATCAAAGATTATAAAATATATCACAAGACTATTTCTATTCATTTTTTCTTTCTCAAATAATTTCCTAGGTATCAGGAATCCTCTAATTTTGCCTTACTTAACTTGCTATCTCTTTAGCTTTCTTTGAAAAAATCATAAGAAAGTTGTAAAACATTAAATTAGCTATAAGAATATATTATATTTTGCTAACTCATCTTCAGCTTTTCAGAAGTTATAGCAATTTTCATTTCTCATATTTTCAGCAAAACTTATCTTTTGTATTTACAATTTTTATTGTGCTTATACTGTAATAATTTTTGTCAATTCATGGCTCTCTTAGAGTGATAGGCGTGAACTGCTCATAGGCACTTGGCCCTGGAGTGTTCTTCCATTTGATTCATGGCGTCAAAAACAGTGTGCAATGACACATTTCCTAAAGAGAAATACCTAAACTCTTATTTTTATCATAAAATAAAATTATTTGAGTGAGTTACCTATGTTCTGTTCTCAATCATCCCTCCAATAGAGAAAATTCAAATCCAAAGTTGAAATTTAGTCAATAAGTTCTTTTTAAAAACATAAAATTTATTCTCAACCATTTCAACTTTTTAGTCTCTATCTACTTACTTAAAAGTTTTGAATTAATTAATTATTCACTTATGCACTTTCCATGAAGATGGAGGGCTGATAGAAGCATTATAGAAATGTTTCATTCCAATGGTCAGTGATTGCAGAAGTGAATGAAATCACTGTGACTGTCCTATTTAAGAATTTTACTTTATAGTATCTTAAAGCATTTAGAGGGCAATAATAAGGTTGTTTTCTGAATGATATATTTGTTGTTTAATATGCTATGCTAAGCTACTGATAGGCACAAAGGTAATTTTATCTTAATATATCTGATTTATTTCTGTACTTCTTTTTGATGTTTTATTTTATGGATTATAACTATCTATGCATCCATTCATATATATATATATATATATATATAATATATATATATATATATATATATATATATATATATATATATCAAAATTAATTTGTTCTTAAACCCATTACTTTTTATCATATGTTTTATAATTTTTTCTGTTAATTCTGAGTTTGAATTTTTGCTGAATCTATGAATAAATGCTATAAAGTTTTAAAAAGAAAAAAAACTACGGGCACTAGAATGATTTCTTAAAAACTGGTGATATAGTTTAGTCTAAAATACTTCATAAAGTAGAGTTCAAGAGGAAAGTCATTAAGCATCATAGGAAAGAGAAACACTTATATATGCTTAGAAATAATTGATGTCTAGACAAAGTTTGTTAGAATAAAACTTATCTAAAAGTGAACTAAAACTCAACAATTGACCTTATTTTTCTAGATTTATAAAATAAAAAAATCAATTATTATATAAGCACCAAATAATGGAACAAGAAAGAAAAAAAAATTCTTAAACAGTGAAGATGTGTTAGTCGAATCAAGATTTATTATAAGATTTACATTAACAGGAACATAATTTTATTTATAATAGTACTTCTTATTTATTTTTTTATATTAAGATCTAGTTAGAAAAGTTTTGAAAACAGGTACTTAGATCATTTAAAGAAATGTATAAAAACTGTAATTTGTCTTCTTCATAAAAAATATTACAGGCTATTTTCCTTTGAAGTAAATTTTGTCTAGTTTACAGTGAAGCAATTGTTAATTACTTAAATCAAATATTTATTTAGTAATTACTTCCTATTTTACAAAAAAAAAAAACATGACTTACTTAAAAAAATACAAAATTTGGTTTTCCCACCTTTCTGCTGAAAATTGGTTTCTTTATATGAACTTTTTTTGTAGCTCTTGAGGTCTGCTATCACTCCTATAAAAATATCCCTCTACTTAATTTTTTGGACACCCTATATAATAAAAAAAGATGTGTCCAAAAAAATCAATACCCAAAATACGTTTCATTCCAGTAGCTGTATGTAGTGAAGAGATTTCACAGTAAGAATTAACCTGAAAATGAAGTTGTAGAGACTGAATTGGAAAATTTTTAGGGATGTATGATCCCTAATATATTGTTTGAAGTTTTCCTTTCTTTTTTTTTTTTTAAATATTCCTATTCTATTTCCTATTAATAATTACAGTTTACTGTTAATAGATCTAGTTTTATGAGCATGGTTTAATATGGTAACAATGAGTATAATTTAAACCTTTTCATCAAAATATATACCATGATTATAATCCATCTTATTTTTCAGGATAACTCTTCTACCTGACTATTTTCACCACAGACTTCTTCTTGATTAGTGTATGAATAAAACTTTTTTTTCTTTTACATGATGAGATCTTCATAAATAAAACTTATTTGTAAACAAATATTGTATAGAAGCTGTAGCTTCCCTATCCATTTTGATAACCCAAAGAATTAAAATGTAAATGCACATTAATAATAATAAAAATACTCAATCAGATAAGCAAAAGTCCTACTTTATTTGTTTTATGTTTTTCCCTACATCGTTTCACTCCTTAGACCATTTTCAAAGGAAGAAACCTATTTTAAAATAAAATTAAAGTCATATGGCCTCAATTTCCCTTATTGTTGTATTGCATAGTAGTCTATTTATTTTTATTTCTTTGTTTATTTTCTGTTTATAGATAGTTTGTAGCCTTACCTTACTATAACCATTGCTCATGTGTCAGAATGTTATATTACTTTATAAAAAGACAAAGTTTAATACTGGGAAAGTATTTAACTATTAAATCAGTTGACAAAGACAATTCAGTCCATATGATTTTAATATTATTTTATAAAAAAATTCTTCCCTTGAAAATAGCCTAAGGGCTGAAACATTGGTGTAGAGAAAAAATAAATAAAGTAGTACATTTATGATCTAATAGTGTTTTTATTATTATTAATAAAGTAAAACCCTAACCTTCAAGATTGAAATATATGTGTAAATGCATATTTTATATATATATATATGTATGTATGTGTGTGTGTGTGTGTGTGTGTGTGTTTATTAATGTCTGCTCTAAATTAGTCAAATTACAACTGTTTAAGCATAGGCTAGTGGCTCCAAATTATGGATCATATCACCGTTAGATAAACAAAATGATTTATGTGGTTCATCTAAGGTAGATAACCAAGAACCACATAACCTCATTGATGAAGACATGGTAAATCAAATCAGGCAGAGAAGATTGAGATGGGTCGGGTATGTAGCTCATTTGTCACAGCACTTAAGGAAGATTATTGTGTCTTGGATTGTTAGTGTAAAGAAGGATCATGAGGGTCAGGGATTAGAGAATAGTTGTTTTTCATTCTCCCCTTTTTCGCCATTTAAGCTATATAGGGTTTTCCCGAACCAGGGATTAATGCCAGAGTTAAAAACCACTGTCACCGGAATGAAAACTCGTACTTAGTTTATTCCATATAACTTTGGTTATCAGGTTGACAGCAACGCGTGGTGCTGTTTGCACGCGTTATGCCGCTCAGCCACCCCAACCCTGTTAGAGATCAGTTGTCCAACAACGTAATTAGGCAGAAGTTAGAAGAGACCCGAGAACAATAATGAGCCAGTAGACAAAGAAAAAGCGGTTTCATTTCCCTTCAGGGCAGTGTTGTAATTCTATGTAAGACAAGATGAACAAATGATATTTTATTATGGTATTTATATACAACCTTTATATATCATAGTGACTTGCAAGAGACTGAATAGGAGACATAAAAGTCTGTGATGAAAACATAACAAAGATGTTTTATATTAAACATTTAGTGAAAAAAAAATCTTTACAAAAATATTTAGGGTTCTAATCCGATTAGAAAATTCAATCAATTAACAAACCTAAACAAAGTTCACTCTAACTTATCATTATTTCTTCACTATTAGAGTCATGAATAAAAAATATTTCTTCATAATTATTATTTTTCAGTTAATAACATGTGGAAGGGTAAGGTAAGCAATATTGTATTTAAAAATAATATAACACTCAATATGAATAGGAGAGGTATAAGGTTTTGTCTTTTACTGTAATTAATAAACATATTAATTACAGAAAACATATATATATATTAAGTAAAAGAAAAAAATATTATATGAAACAAAAATTTATTTAGGTACATTTATTAACAACAGGGGGACCGAGGTTAACTACCAGTTGTATACATTACATTTATATTTGAGACATTGATCAAATTGCACATTGAATTGAGAAGTATCCACATCAAGATAGAGAAAATTAATATTCACATTTAAAACTAATCTACTTACATGAATACCATACATTGATTCACAATTGAAGTACAATTTAATTAATAAATTAATTCAAGTTTTAAAAATTAATTTTTCTTATCATCAACTCTTGGCTGGTGAATTCTG